TATGAGTTTGTGTCCGATGGCGGGTTCTCTGAGGAGTAGGCTTCGTCCGTGCCGTCGAGGATGCCTGTGGAGTGGTGTTCCCGCTGCAGTTCAAGTCCAGGCTTAGCTCCAGTTATCTTTCGTTTTCCGCTGCATTTATGTAAGACTTTTATAATGTTTGTAAGACGTGGATCTGTATGTCAACATTGTCGTTTGTGTACCCCGGCCGGTCCTGGACGGGGGTTTTAATGCATATTCTGCTTGGAATTCTATTCGGGAATTTCTGGGCGTGACAATAACCTACCTGTCCCGGGAACCCCGGCTGTAGGCAGGCGTTAGGTCGTCGGTACTCTTGTTCATGGCTAAGATGGGTTAAGAACTATGTCACGATTATGGGCAAGCCTAGCAATGTACCCAAGTTAGTGGTTTAATACCTAAAACTTGCTAATGAACTAAAATTTGGAATGGATGGCCTGAGTTGGCTTGGGACGAACTGGGGCCCAGTTTATGGCTGCCAGTTCGGTCCGACTCATCCTAGGCCTTGGGCTAAGGCAGGTTCGTGTGGGTTCACGACCTTGTTTAATAATAATGTGTAGACTTAGGTTTGAGTTTACAAAATAGCTTTGAGCAACTAAGTGACTTTTAAATGTTGTTTACTGCAAAACCTAACCCCCTTTGTACCCCTTTGCAATTATTGTGCATTTGTCGGTATGACTTGTTGAGTACGATGGTTGTACTCAATCTTTCTCCATTTTTCCCCAACCCAGAAGAGAAGTTCCCGGAGGATAAGGGGTTTGGTGTCTACCTTGTGCCTGTCGTCATGTGCCTGTGGTCTTCGCCCTAGTCTTCCGCGCTTATTTGTTTTTCTATGTGTGCTGGGCCTTTGGTCGCCCATGTAATATAAGTACTATTTACGCTTCTGCTTGTTAAACTCTTGTTTGTACTAAATTGTGTGTACCTTGCCTCCTAGGACAAGGAATTATGCACAAACGTATAGAATGTTTGTTGGGTTATTTCCGGTCGTGACAAAATATGCCTCTATAATATAAATTTAACAAACAAAAATGCCTATAAAGTATTGTTGACGGTCCTTAAATCATAATATCTGACCGTCAATACCTGCATATAATGAAATAAAACATGGTATCCAACTTAGTGGTAGGTATTATTACTAATCATTTCCACTAGTGTTGGTAAAATATGTGTATGCAGGTATTATTTTGAGAAAAAAACACATCCGTCAAGCGACAAACTGCACCTCCGCGCATTCATGACACATTTACACGGATTGGAGGCCCTATAAGTCAAGTAAACAACTCCAAATAGGCCCAACTATCATGCCAATGGGCTGAGGGCCTCAAAATTAGTGTCCACGACGAAAAACGGGCCGAACGGAGCCGTCTCGGGTTCGGCCGACCAGTTTGGCCGAACCCTTTTGGTGGCCGTTGATCACCAAATTTTGCGTGGACGGCCCTGATTACTTCCTGATGGCGGTTCCGGGGTAGTTTGGTCATTTCGCATAGGCTGTAACCGTCATACCTGCCTATATAAGGAGTAGTTCACTCTCATTTCTGACACACAACTTTGAGCTAAATTACAAGAGGCTCTATTGTATCTTTTGTACATTAGAATAAGGTAGAGAGTGAGGGGAAGCTCTGGAGGACTGCCCGGAAGTTTGGCGCTCATCCGACTTCTACCTCGACAAGTGTAGCTTCCTAGGAGGAATTTGGGAGGAGTACCGGAGCTGTTGGTACACTCTGCTCCGGGTTTGAAGAAACTTCTTCTATAAAGTAAGCATTCATGTTCCTTTCTTATGTTATTTAATTACTTTGTCTAAGTAAGATAGATTTCCGTCTAGCGGGTTCATTGTTTAGTATTTATACTAAGTGCTCTAGTACTAGGACTCCGGATAGAGAAGGAAGTTTATGCGCAAGTAGTAGAGTAGTAATTAATAACTTAGACGTGGTGTCTAGGTTAGAGATTACCTTTGTTTGTTTTGTATTCCACGGATTTGTCAGAGGTAGGCGGCAGGTGTTGACCAGCAGGGGTCGGTGCCCGAAGCAACAGATAGAAAATTACCTTTGCTTAGCTTAGATAATTAAAACATATAGAAAGTCCTCTCTAGCCTAGCCTGCCTATCATTAGTTGTTGTCCTTGGATAGTCTTAGCCTTAGGTAGATTACATACGTTCCGTGAGTTCGATATCCTTTTGGGGTGGTGAAGTGCTACAACGGGCCTTAGGTAGATTACACATGTTCCGTGAGTTCGATATCCTTTTGGGGTGGTGAAGTGCTACAACGGTATTCTGTGCGCTTGCAGATTTATCAGTGGTCGTAAGAAATACCAACAAGTATCTTCAGAGTAAAAAGTGTCTCTAAAAAGTTTCTCTATTCTTTTATTGAACTCCTGATTTTAGTGGCAAATTTATGAAAACCGTCTATACGAAAAAGTGCCTCTATATAAGGTTTTTTTAGTGTACCATAGTATCATGAACATGTTATACCAATTGTCAATGTTTTCAGAAGTTTAACTGAGTTTGTTTTGTATGTCAAATGTGTATGACCAAAGGATTATATTGTTGTTACACGCCACCGTGAAAGCATCCAAGCTAGCTAGAGTGTGTACTAGGCCTTACGGCCTCAGCCATTTGTTGGGCCCTAGATATATGTGGAAGTGTCCTCGGGGATGCTATAGTCTCAAATCTGTTAGATTGTCACATGTCTGAACAATTTTGCGAGGATGCAACTTACACATTTACACAGTTAGTTTGTAAGAGAATAGCTATATATCAATAGGGAGGTTGTTGGTGCACCTTCAAAGTTTGAAGCATATATAAGTAAATGATGCACATGTGTATGCATTTCGTGTTGTGATTGTGGAATAAGTCTAATTGATTTATAATGAGCTTGACGTTAACCAAATTATTGTTGTTGAAGCTCCTGTTAGTTGAAATTTCCTCAATTTTCACCTGCAATGATCTTTTAATTTAATGAGGATTTTAAAATTTATCATCTTTATTCAACATAAAGTCCTGTTTTTTCACCTCATATGCTCATCTTCCACGGAGCTCCAAATTAAATGGCAGTCATACCTCAGACATCATCTTGTTCTAGTCGTGCTTTGAGTCAGGGCGTCAGTCAGCCTGAACATACATCGACCCCATCCCTAGTTCCTAAATTTTGAGGTTATAGCCAAAAAAAAAAAAACTGCTATCAGCTGCCCAGCACAATTGAGAAGCCCTGAACGAGTGTACGTACCCAAACAAGCATTAAAAAGAACAATTCAGCGATGTCTGTATCTAGTGTTCTTCATGGTAATAAGCATCAGTGCATCTGTATACTTCCTTCAACTTGGCCTGTACTGAGAAAAAAATCGGTGTGTATCGTTCATCAGAAAAAAAATATACCAAGGCCGTGTTTAGATTCAAACTTTTTTCTTCAAACTTTCAACTTTTCCGTCACATCAAATGTTTGGACATATGCATGGAGCATTAAATGTGGACGAAAAAAAATAATTACACAGTTTACATGTAAATAGCAAGACGAATCTTTTGAGCCTAAGTACACCATGATTTGATAATATGGTGCTACAGTAAACATTTGCTAATGATGGATTAATTAAACTTAATAGATTTGTCTCGCAGTTTACAGGCGAAATCTGTAATTTGTTTTGTTATTAGTCAACGTTTAATATTTCAAATGTCTGTCAGTATACTTAAAAAAAATTTTGGCACACGAGACACAGCCTGAATCAGCTGTAAGGTAACTCAATCATTTTCTGTTGTTTTGTGGGGCATGAACCAGCTGTTGCTTTCTTGGACGGTTACTAACAACAGTTTATAGCTAGGAAAACATATATTACCCAAACAGGTTCTACCATCCCTTGTATTATTTATTTCCCCAGAATATTTTTCCTCTAGAAGAACCTACTTGAGTAAGATATGTTTCCCCTTGTATTATTGGTGCCCATGAAAAATACAGAAAAATACAGGCGTTAGTTCATTACTGGCTTGCAGGTGTAATAAATTTATAATGCTCCGGTGCTTCCAAGCAGACATATGTTAAACAAGAAGTTGGATCTGTAAGTTCTCAAGGTAAGTATAAATATATGGGTAGTTGTTGAGCTGATTTTGTTGTCGCCAATAAGGCATGTGAAATACTCCCTCCATCTTTAAATATCGCCATTGACTTTTTTAAATATGTTTGACCGTTCATCTTATTTTAAAAAAAGTAATTATTAATTATTTTCCTATCATTCGATTAATTGTTAAATATACTTTTATGTATACATATAGTTTTATATGTTTCACAAATTTTTTGAATAAGACGAACGGTCAAACATATTTAAAAAAATTAATGGCGTCGGACGGAGGGAGTATTTTGGATGGTCCATAAGCATATATAAGAGATGAATATTACTTCCTCCGTTTCACAATGTAAGTCATTCTATCTTTTTCCATATTCATATTGATGTAGATTCATTAACATCAATATGAATGTGGGAAATACTAGAATGACTTACGTTGTGAAACGGAGGGAATAGCTACATTATGTGTTATTGACTGACTTTAACCTTCTTCTTATGAGCTCAATATATAATAAGGCCCTATTTGGATGGGAGTTAGTCCCTCATAAAAATTTTAAGTCCCTCCCAAAGAGACTTATATTTCTGTGAGAGGACTATGTCCCTCCCATCCAAATAGCCCCTAATTCATGACACAAGAAAGGTGCTTTCTATGTCAGACATGGTGCTTAAGCTGAGCAAACATTAACTGTATTCATTGTGTTTTTCTTAATTACCCTTTTAATTAAGTAATTATCCATTGCCTAAACGATAAATTATTTCTTTTCTGCAGCATGTACTATATGTGCGTATACCCTGTTATGGACTATCTAGCTCCATTGATCATGTACTCCAGTTAAATATATAGTAGTATTCGAATATACTACCTTAGATCCGATGTATTTACAATGCATTATATAACTTTAATAAGCACATTATCGGGGACTAAAAACTCTAAGGGATCCATAATGATGATAAGATTTATTTATTAGCCAATGATATTATCACTCTACATATGCTCACATACTGATACAGAAAAGATGGCAGATCACGCGATTATCATGGCTTATTGGAAATATAAAGTGGCACAAGACAAGATAGAGATCCATGGCACTCTGGCTTTGGATATCATCATATCCAACTTATTTATGACTACTCCAGAGCGGCATAACTTTGCATGATCGATGCACTTTGCTTAGGAAGCAACGGTGACAATTTCAGCTTCATTGGTGCAGAAGCGGTAGCACGCTTCGTTGCAACGATCAACGGCATGATTCCCTTCTTCGTTGCCAGCAACTGAAAGGAAAAAATGATTCTCTATTCATTAGCTATTTTTTTTTTCTACGTATGTTTTGTTGAAAATGGTAAATTAGTTTGATGTTTTCTCTACTATAACTTACAAGTATTCATGTTGCTGCATACGGACGAAGTACATCCTAGCTTGCAGAAGTCCAATACATCCGATTCCTCTGCAAAACCATGCATGAGGATATAGCTTTTAGTAAAACTAATTCCATTCATTCATAAATGTTTGTGCCAGCAAATATTACGAAAAATAACAGCCCAAACAATTAGAGAAGGGGAATTAATATACATTAGTTTGCTTGGGTGAATGTAACAAAGAAGTAGTATAGTAGTAGACAATGAGAGTTACTGTGTTTAATTTACCAGAGTCAGGGTGAAGGGTGTGGTGAATGAAAGGAGGCTTGCATTTCCCATCAACAATTTTGCAGCCAGAGATTTTACAACATTTGTCCCTTGAGGCACCCGTAAAACGGCATGAGTTATATATGTTTCTTGCCGTGGTTGATGGGCAGCAGCTCTTAGCTTCCACTTGGATATGCTCATGCTGCAGGACTAACCCTAGCACCAGAACACACACAATCAAACTCTTCACAGCTTCCATGTTTCCTATCTAGTTTTCAATAAGATTTACTCGAGGATCAACAAGTTAAAGCAAGAGGGCTCAAAGGCTACTGCTTTCTTGTGTTTGTGCCTACGATTAGCATGAGGCACGCCTATTTATAGGCAAAGCCAGGATCATGTCCAAGCTGCATCTGCATGATACAGATGATTATCTTATTTTAGTTTTTAATAGTCATATATTGCTGATCTGTACTCTGTATGTGTTTGTTTTGTGATCAAGCCACTTAATTGCATGACACATATGGATGGCTTGGTCTACGTACTTAGCAGCTACTCCCTTTGGTTTCATAATTCTTAATGTTTTTGATAATGACACGATCTCTAAAATGTATCATTGACTTGTTTTCCTATTATAATATATACAATAAATTAATATTTTTTTCTTTTATTGTAATACTGTGTATAAGACAAATCAATATATATGTTGTTCTAATGACTTTAAACTAAATAGCTTCACAGTTATTGATAGTCAAAGTTTGAAAAATTTAACCTCAACCTTAGCCAAAATGTAAGAATTATGGAACCGGAGGAAGTAGCCTGTAGCTTCCCGCAGATCAAGTGTGTATTGTGTACTGTCTTGTGTAGACTGTAACTCCCATTTCATGCAAAACTTTTGGCAACCGATGTGGTGAACGTGATGTGACATTAAGGTTCTGTTTGGAGGAGTTTAAGATTATGGGAAGCAACATGGTGAGAATCTGGAGAAGTTAGAAATAAAACCCAGCTTCCAGCTTCTAATTCATTTTCTGGATTCCGCAACTGCAGTTTCACGTAATATGAACCATGATTTTGGGAGAAGCTACGGCAGTTAGAAGCTCCCCTATATAGGCTACAAAGCTTAATCACATGGCATCTTCTGCCTTACCAGCATCTACCTAGTAGTAACAGCCTGTATAGCTACGTCGCTATTAAATATTTAATTAAAGAAAATCTCAATTACTCACTCCGTCCAAAAAAGAACAATCCTAATTAGGCGGTCAGCCGCTCCACCGTATATTTTTTAACGCGTTTAGGTAGGCGGGTGGCCGGCTATCAAAATCGATTTTCACGGGCGGCTAAAATATACCATATGCCTACGAAAATTGTTCCAGCGAAAAAACAATTCACTGGGATGAACCGGCATCGCTCCGCCTGCACCGACAGCATACGCGGTGCCTCGATCTGCTAGATCAGATCCAATCCATAACAATTATTTCCAAATGAACCCCAGATTTCCAAATCCACATAGCACCGCAGTTTACATCACAATTTACACCATTCACCGGTTGCACAAATTTACAAATTAGTAACTACAAAAACGAGAGATGGAATTTACAGAATTCATAAATTTTCAATCAACATCAAACGCCAAAAAATGATCTGCATGCTTCCATAGCCACAGCAACAGTGATATTTTCATCTCCTGTAAGATAGATCCACTACTAGAAAAAGCATTTTCCCCAACGTTAGGGTCTTATTTTCACAGTCGGACATGACTTTTGGAGCCAAATGACCGCCTACAAAAATATAAATTGGGGTGATGTTTGCTGTCCGCCTATGAAAATCTATTTTGGTAGGCGGACCACTTAAGCGGCGCCTGCGAAAATCATTTTCGCATGCGCACCTTATATGGTCCGCCTGCGAAAATGAGGAGCAATATAAATAGACCCATTCTGGAGCAGATTTTTTCTTAGTCACATTCTCTCCCTCACTTATCCTCTCCCTCACCTCTCTCTCTCCCTCACTGACTTTCCTCTCCTCTCCCTCACCTCTCTCTCTCCCTCAGATCCCTCTCCCTCACTGACTCTCCTCTCCTCTCCAGCGGTGCGGCGGGGACGGCGGCGCGGCCGGCAGTGGCGGCTCCCCTCGCCCCCTCCCTCCCAGATCTGGCCGGAGGAGGGAGGGGGAGGCCGGCGGGGCGATGGCGGCGGCGGCGGCGACGACGACGCGCGCGGGGCGGCTGGCGGCGGCTCACCTCACCCCCTCCCTCCCAGATCTGGCTGGAGGAGGGAGGGGGAAGGCCGACGGGGGCGACGGCGGCGCGGGACGGCCGGCGGCGGCTCCCCTCGCCCCCTCCCTCCCAGATCTGGCCGAAGGAGGGAGGGGGAGGCCGGTGGCGGGGACGACGGCGTGGAGCGGCCGCGGCGGCGGCGACGGCGGCGGCGGCGGCGACGGCGGCGGCGGCGGCGACGGCGGCGGCGGCGACGACGACGACGACGGCTCCCCTCCCTTCCCCTCTCAGATCTAGCCGGGGAGGGGGGCGACGGCGTGGCGGCGGCATGCGGCGATTTTTTTTTTGTTCGTTTTTTTTTTGCATTTTCGTAGGCGGGCCGTTGCCCCGTCGCAGTCGTTGTGGCGCAGGCAGACCTCCCTCCCGCCTGCGAAAATTAGGTTTGGCCGCTTGGGAAAATTAGTTTTCTAGTAGTGATCACCAACCCAATCCATCCATGAATTGAAGACAAAGAAACTAGGAATTGAAAAAGGGGAAGGTATGTACCCAGATTTCATCGGATCTACCTCTCATCACCGGATCCAGGAGAGGGTAGGGAAAGGGAGTGGAGGAACCGTGGTGTAATAGCCTACTCTCTAGAACCACATAGCTGAGCCCATCTGATGAGCAGACCCACTTGCACATTTCACCTCACTTATACTGTCATCATTGCTTCATTTAAAAGGTTTAATCCAGGAGTGTTATGGTTGGAGGAACAAAGTCTTATAAGTTTGTTCCACCCTTGCTAAACTTGCAAGGTGATACTAAAAATGTGCACATAGTTCTGATGGACCTCAGTGGTCTCGTCCTAATTGGGTCAGGATGCATGCCACACGCTATTGCCGGATCTGCTGCTTCACCATGTCACTGCCGTGCGAGAGGGATCGAGGAGCTAGTGGTCGCCAACTGAACTGCTCGCCATCACCTCCATGGCTAGATCCGTTGCCTCAACCTGGGCAGCCCCCCTCCCCCCTGTTGCCACCATGGACACCTTCCCTTCGGCCAGATCTAGGAGAGCAAGGGGACATGACCGAGTGTAGTGCAGGAGAGCCACGCCACCCCGTCTTCGAGAATCTCCTGTTGCTACTGCTGTCACTACCATCGCTGCCCTCCTCCCCTCTAGTAAAATACTCCATGGGAGAGGGAGAGAGCTAGGGAGGGGAGAGGAGGGCCATTTCCGCTGGCCTTTGATGCTGCTGCTGACGCCCTCCTTTCCTCCAGGAAAATCTAGGATAGGGAGGGGAAGGGAGGGCCACCGCCGCCGCCTCCTCCTCTGCCACTGGCTTCCTCTCCTCTGGCCAGATCAGGAAGAGAGTGAAGTGGAAGGGGAAGTGGAGGAGTGGGGAGTGGACAGGGTGAGGGAGAGTGGTGAGGCCTAAGAGAGTTGAGAGGTGTGAGGGGCTGGGAGGCAGAGGACTTAGGGTGAGGGAGTGGGGGGTGCGCTCGTTGGCCGTGATCCTATTTTTTAAAGCCCCTCCCATTTTTGCACGTAGACGTCTTAAGTCCTTGTCTGTAAAAACTGATATTTTACAGGCAAGATATATAAAGGAGCGCATGCTGTGCTTTTGCAGGCGGCCCTTTTGTAGCCCCAGTTGTAATTGCTGGTGGGGTAGAACTTTTTGACCTATTGTTCTTCGAGAAGCGATTCCCCGGACTCGGGGGGGGGGTTGGGGGGGGTTGTGCAGACCCCACCCCTAATGAAGATTTGGCCGGGGGTTAGTCGTGAACGACGAATTGTGATGTCACGCCGATGCGCACGAGCTATCAAAATCCAAGCCAACACAGAGGATTATACAGGTTCCGGCCACCCAGAGGTGTAAAAACCTACTCCTGTTCGGTGGTTGTTGTTATCTAGATCTGGCAAAGTACAAGCTAGAACCATTTCTAACTGGCATGTCCCCTTCATTTTAAAACTTGTTGCCTGAGTTGTTTTGTCATTGCCAGTTGGTTCCCTTCAGATCTCCCTGAGAAACCTACCAAAATCCTGCTGTTAGATTGCCCTGGCTCTCCAAGCACCGGCCGGGCCAACTGGGATTTCACATTGTTGACCACGTGTCATACTGTCATGTGGTTGTTGGCGGCTGTTAAACGTCAATTCTATACCGCCAACATCTGCATAAAGTTCAGATAATATAACATCCAACATAGTGATAGGTGTTTAATCTCACATATTCCACATGTGTTGGTGTATATTTGTATGCAGGTGATAAACCCTAAAGTTGGGAGGAAAATCAGACTAAAGTGAGGAGAAATGTATATCCACACAAGGATGGGTTGTGAACTTCATCGAAATATCAAAGACTCAGCCCAAAACTCCGAGAAATGGGCAGAGGAGAGTTAGGGGAGTCCACAGGCCGAAAGCCAGGCCGGGTGGGCCCAGCCCAGGTTCGGCGGAACCCCCTGAATCGGCCGAACCCCCCTGATCACCGTTGATCCTGGGGTTTGGTGTGGACGCTCCAAATTCTCTCCTAATGATGGTTGTGGGACAGTTCGGACATTTCCCCTTCTCACAACCGTCATAACTGCCCTATAAAAGGAGCTTCACTCCTTCACTCTCACACACACTCCCAAGCTTGAGCTGAATTATAAGAGGCTCTATTGTACTATATTGTATACTAGAATAGGAAGAGAGTAGAGTAGAAGAAGTCAGAAGAATTCCGGAGTTATCGGTAATCTTCTTTTATTTCTTTTATTCTGTTCATTACTCTGATTTCAATATAATATCCTTCCTGAGTAATTTAGATTTATCTTGTGAGAATTATTTCTTGGTTAGTTCCTAAATAGTATACAGGATTATTGATCACTATAATCAACTAAAATATAGTGATTGCTTTGGTGAGTTATAAACACTAAAGTAGATATTAATTACTTAGACGTGGTGTTTAGGTAATTGTTATGCAGTAATTGTTGTGTATCCCACAATACGTTTGAGGTAGGTGTAGAGGTGGTGATAGCCCTCGAGATCACTTAAGTCCTCCCTGTCCGGGTATGTAGTAGAGCGACATTTGGGAACAACGGGTTGCCAGTGCCTGAAGTCGTTAGGATTAAACTTAAGCTTTCCCTAAACATTGTTCTCACCAGTAAATCCTTTTTATCCCGGCCTATCATTTGCTTGGTGTTCTTGGATCAACTGGAGGAAGATCTGACCACACACATATCCCTTGGATTCGATACCCTTTGGAATACTCCGTAGGGGAAGTGCTACATCAGTATATCCGTGCGCTTGCGGATTTTATCTGTGATCGTAAGAATTACCAACAGTGGTGGGCCTGGTGAAGCCTCAACCTCAGCAAGATGGTGGCACAGCTCCCTTTTCACCTAGTTGGTGGAAATGGGTGTCGCTGGGCATGCGCGACCCGTGTCTAGACCTGCGCATGTCCTACATGACTCAACGCCACTGTCTTTTCCACGTCTTTTCAATCCGGTCGACTTGCAATCTTTTTTACAAACCTGTTTTATTTATGGCTGTGACCGTTGGGTCACAACTGCCGCGGGGGGAGGGGGGTCGAGGATTTGACGTACACATGTCTTCGCCTACGCCCCTATGCCCCTTAACACGGAGATTGGATATTTTAGACGATGTCTTTGGTGAGGAAATATGTAGATCTTGTATGTCTCTGTTGACAGTAGTTATAGACTAATTTTGACCGTCGATATATCTGGAATAAAGGAGAACTAGCTATGCTTGCATGCATATTTTGTTTAAGAATAATCTATATCCACTTGCACTTGGTAAATTATTTGTTTGCAGAGATT